AGAGGGAACCTGAGAAACGGGACATAAAGGACACATTTACATTATTAGTTACATTATTATTAGTATTAGTTATAATAAGATAGAGGGAACCTGAGAAACGGGACATAAATGACACATTTACATTATTAGTTACATTATTATTAGTATTAGTTATAATAAGATAGAGGGAACCTGAGAAACGGGACACCAAAGACATGTTTAACACGTTTAACACTTACATTATTAGTTACATTATTATTAGTATTAATCAGAATCAGAATCAGAATAAGGTTTATTGCCAAGTAGGTTTTTCACTTACAAGGAATTTGCCTTGGTGTATATTATAATAAGATGTGGATTGAACCCTGTCCTGTCACATAAATGTAATTCACCAGTGGCCCGTGTTCACAGGGGAGGTTTGTTTTTAATTAATCCTGTTTTTAATGCATTTATGTCCACATTTTCACTGGACTTGTTACACATTAAAATAGTTTAAGTGGTCTCCACTGCTAAATGAAATCTGTTTTTCCTTCATACTTAAAGATCACCAACTCTGAAGTGTAACTTTCAGTCTTTCCTCATGATTATAGATTACTCTGCTCTGACTTAATTATAAGATAAGATAAGATAAGATAAGAGCTTTATTGATCTCACAGTGGAGAAATTCACTGGTCACATATCGGTTAGGGTACAAAAGGAGGAAAAGGTGCATAAAGTACATCAAAAGCAAGCAAATATACAAAGAAAGAAACACAGCGTAGAGATTTGGGTGATTAAAATATATACAATCATTGAGGGCTCACACACAGTACACATATATATTATTTATACTGTGCACCATGAAAATAGCAACTTTCAAGTCTATGTAGGCTTGGTAATTTCGAAACCAGAGTTTTCTTTGTGTTAATAATAGGCACATCCGCACAGATTTCTTAAATACATTGAGAAATTTAGGACATTTTTGCTTAAATGAGGACGATAATGGGTGATTTTCTTTAATTCCCTAAGAAACATGTTTCGGAAGCCATTGTTCTGTTGGTCAGACAGATATTTGTACCAAACTGAATTAAGTCTAACATATTAACATGTTGTATGGTGATAAATTAAGATCCTCTGAACCAAAACACTTTTATCTTTTATGTTTTAACATGTGCTAAATCAAAATTCCACTGAGCCTCTAGTCCGCCGCTGAATATTTACCTGTAAAATCTTATTTCCGACCCTTTAACAAACTTGTTGTTGCACCCTGTTGCCGCACAAATGACGGGCATGGCGTCCCTTTGGTGCAAAGCGGCCACCAATCCAATAAATTCAGCAAAATCCGCGTTGAGAAGAGAAAATATCAGATGTTTGAGATTGTTGTCTGTCGTCTTCTTCGTGGGCGGAAGTGACGTTTCCTCTGTTCCCTGTTTCGCTGTGACGTGTCCGCCCTCTAGCGGCCACACCTGCAAATGACTCAAAACATATTGATGTTTTGCTTAATTATAATGTTAAAGTAATTATCAGTATAAATCAATTTCTTCTTGTTATCATCAACATTATTCTAATTCAAATTGTTATTAATTATAGCAGTTTTATTTTATTCATCAAAATATTCGTGAAGGAGGATGTGTACATCACTCTAAATTACATTTGACAAATAAATGGAATAATCTGGGCATTTTTCTGCCATTAATTGTGTGACCATGTCTCTATTCAAGCTAAGCTAAAGGTGACTTTTCACGTAGATTTTTTAAAGAAAAAACATTAAGGAAGTTATGAAGTTGTTTGTGGGATTTTGTTAGTCTGTGTTTAACCTGTCTGGAGAACGGTAAACATAGTGTGATGAAACACATAGATTCATAGAGTGGGAGAGATCATTCTTCTGAAAAGCATGGTTAAAGGTTATTTGAAATATTCGACAATGCTATTTGTTTCATACAAAAAATATACCATTGTAATGATGTATTGTTGCTGATGCTCAAGAGTCTTGTGTTGTGGTTTTATTAAGAATATGAATGCATGTGGAGTAAATGAGTGAACCAAGACACAACTTCCAATATGACATAATAATAATAATGTCACGTTCACATGACACGACATCCTATTTCAGGATCTTTATGTTTAAACTGCATTAGCTTGTTGAGGGCACATACATGCATGAGACTTGTTAATTATTTAAATTTAAAAATGTATTTAAAATATTTAAATAATAATACATTAATTAGCCCACCTCTGGGATTGATTAGATAGATAAATAGATAGATAGATAGATAGATAGATAGATAGATAGATAGATAGATA